AGGCTGAAAGCCTAATGGCTGTATTCTCACGAGTGCCTGTCAACAAATGCCAGGTCTAGCCTAGTGCCACAGCCAAAGCAAACCCACACTGTGCTGCACAGCTGCTCGGGCTGGCTCTGGGCAAGCCAGGTCAAGTGTCCTTCTTGAGTGCTTTACTGGTAGACATAGCTGGCACATGTTTGCATGCTGGCCCCTTCGCCAGCCAAGCTCTGGGAGCAGTGACAAGCAAGCAAGAGGCAACGGTGAGTATCAAGAGACATAGTATGTTCATCCATGAGGAAGATGTCTTCAGACTGCATAAGTTTGCTTTCCAACCAGCACAGAGTCCTGTGCTACCACACGTGGATCCCAGCACAGAGCAGCTGCAGAGCCAAAGGTGTCAACAGGAAACCTCTCACTAGATGCAGCTTTGAGTCCCAATGACTACCGAGCAGCAAATTTAAGGCTGTGGCGAAGCTGTCAATGCAGGAAGAGCAATGAAAGCATTTCTACCCCCAAAGGTTTGTCATCAGTCTGGAATAGGTTTGGCAGAGCTGGTAGGACCATTGCAAGTGCTCCTTTTCTGCTCCCCTGTGAAATCATCCAGCACCATCATAACAGCCCTGGAAAGCAGGTTACACTCAACCATCTGATTGTACTCTGAAAAAGAGGGACAAACCTCTGTAGCTGCTTCCAAGGGCTCTTGTGAAAGAAACACTCTGGAGCTGTGCCTGGTGACTCAGAGAAAGAGGGAGTGCAAAGCTGAGCTTTCATTTGGAGGCAGTGGAAACAACGGTCTTTTTGTTTTTTGGTTACTAATTCCAATAAACATTTACGCCCATCCTGGCTCAAGTAGCACACTCATGACTCACCCATACACTTCATTCTCTGTGTATTTAATTGTTCCAGTACAGGTACAATCAGAACAGATCTCCAGAGTAACCCTGTTCAGTTTGGTCTTGTTTCCCAGATGATCCTACGGTTACCTAACTGAAGCTGCTCAAGGCATTTGTGTAACACTTATATGAAGATGAATAATTGGTGCGTACCTTACAGCTGATGCTATGAAAAGGTTTACCTATAATTGAAGGGGAAGGGAATGAAAAGTTTTCCTACTGAAATATTTTTGAATCTAAACACTAGTTTATTGGAAAGTTGGAATATGAAGACAGGTGGGGTTACTGGTTTGGGTTGGTGGTGGCTTTTTCCGCTCCCCTCCCCCCCAAGTGGAGTGTTTCCAAAAAGGTTTCACCTTTCTTTAATGCCATTTTCTTTTAAACTCCATTTTTTGGAAGGGTTTGGAAAATCAAAACAATTTTCTACCATCCTTCCTTTGCCCCTCATCCTCTTTTCATGCCTCCACCCCCTACCAACACCAACAGGTAAGAGATCGCTGGAGCTTTCAAGGGCTTTTCTCCTTTTATCACTCTAAGTTTTCAAAAGGTTTCCAGCTTGGGAGGTGGGGTGAAACAGATCAGCAGAAGGGGAAAAATTAAAGTCAGAGCTATTCCAATCTCTGGAAAAAGTCCGTTTCACTGTACTAAACTTCCAAAAGAAAACAGAGAGACAGAGGGAGATCAGCAGAAAGGACGATTACAATTCTAGTCTTTCTGGGGAAAAACTAAATTATGATATATGCTGAGATCAGGAAAGTTGCCTATCTGAAGGAAAACAGGAATTAACTTGGTATTCCCCAACCCCCAAAATGTTTTGTTTGGTTTTGTTTCTCCACCTCCCCCCCTCAGTTGCAAAATCGTAACTGAGAACCTGAAAAATGGTCATGTCTGTAGAAAGTGGTTTCACCCTGATGATGTATCGCACCTGGTGTAATACAATGCACTGCAAGACAGCTCCTACACTTCCCGAGCACCTTTGCTAGCACCAGTAGCAGAGGTCCCTTTGAGGGCCCCTGCTCAGCTCACCCCTTGAACAGGCTGCTGAAACATGGAGCCTTCCTCACAACAAGGCGGAGGGGGAATACAAATCATCACATACACAGTATTTCTGGCTCCTAGCAGACAGACAGGGTTTCCAAGTCCACATCGTTTTTGCAATATTAAAAACCCACCAAGGAAAAAGACAATGCAGCTTGACCACATCTCCCTTCATGACCACAGCCTGCCAGCACAACTGAGGATGAAAACAGGAATAGGCCAGTGCCCTGAACTCTCTCCCACAAGAGAAGTGAGCCTGCAGCTTTCAGACCTAATGCAGACCTCAGCTGTGTTACTTCGCTACTCCTCGGTACTGTCACCCCATGTACAAAAGCACACAAACACCCCCTGAACCACTGTCAACTGAAGGACCAAAAGAGTCTGCTCTTCCTAAAGCCAGCAATCCTGTTAACACCTGCCTTAATCAAGGTTTTGGGAGTGCTGAAAGCTATTTTATAATCAGAAAAATCAGTAAATAGGTCTGGCTGATATTTAAAGGGAAACATTTTATTCCCACACAGTGCCTGATGCAACTTATAAGCATCTTACTTCAGTGTTTCATCTACTTACCCAGGCCTTCCACCATGCCATTGCAGTCTCAGTAATGATACCTGGGTCTGCTGGTGAAGAAAACCACATGTATCACACCTCACAGTTAGACAAACAGAGATTTGAAGGGGGGGACAGAGGGAGATTTGAGGGGGGGGGGGGGGAATAAAGTAAAATTCTTTTCGATAAACTTACCACAAGAAAATTGGAATAACTGTACTCCTTGGGAGGCTTATTCCCTCTGGAAGCTGCAGAATGTAACTGGCTTCTCTGTGCTGGGAACACCCAGGTATGAACCATCCTCCTCGACAAATTCCATGGGGAAACGCCCTCAGACATGGCTCAACCTGTTTTTCACATATGATCTCACAGCGAGAGATCAAGTTGCTTAATAAAATGGGCTTCCCTTGTGAGGAGCCCTACATTCAACCCCGTTGAATAAAGCTCATTGTAATTTTTCCAATGCCTCTCCCCACACACACCCTTCTCTGCTAACATTTTGGCCTCTGGCACCAACACAACATGCAAATTACAACCAGGTAATTTCTCAGCATAAAGATGCACTTAGTGAGTTCTGCTACAACAGAATAAGCCGCTCACTTATTATTCCAGACTATTTCTACCAATCTGGAACACAGCAAAACAGGTCCCTATGAACTTACCAAACCCTCCTCTACCTCTCCTCCTTCAAAAAAGCTTAAAACAAACAAAAACCAGCAAACACAGCCACACCCCACCTGTCCTACACCTTCAGTAAAGCAGCAGACTGTACAGAGAGTTGCAAGGTCCCCCCATGCCATACCTAGACTTACGGCATGCATCAAGAAGCATCTTTAGACTAACATAGGACCAGTACATTTGAGGCTAAAAACTCAGAGTAATGCCAACCCCAGCAAAGTTGTCACAGGGCTTGCACTAGCTGCTGTGATGTTAAGAGTTAGGAGTGGAGTGTGAAATTTTTTTTCCCCTTTTTGCATTTGTTCTTAAAAGAGCTGAACAGCTCTTAATGCTTTAATTTTGAGAAATGTTTCTGTGAAATCAGCTGAAATATCTTACGGTTTTAGCAATATTTTCCTGTCTAGACTTTTGTCAGAATCCACCCGTGCCAGCATTTATTTATTTATTTTAAATGGAAAGTTGCCCTGATGGAAACGTTCCCACCAGCTATATCTTAACCCTTGCTATATAGGAGTTTTGTCCCTTCTCACATTTGCAGACCCACATGGGACACTGGGTAAACACCAAACTATGGGTCTCTTATTTCCTTCCCACACACTGCTATTTCACTTAAACCCAGGAGGGTCCCCAATGGCCTGGGAAGCTGCCCTGGCTATTCCTGAGAGAATGAGCTGTGCCAGCTGCTCCTGCCTCAAACACATCCATCTGTGGTGAGGGCAAACTGTGAGGGAGGAGGCATTGCCCCTGGCAAAATAAGCATGTCACTAGGGTCTGCTTAGTTTCTAGCCATGTCTGAGAGGCAGGTTCATCAGCAGCATACAGCAAGGAGTGCTCATGTGTGGTCCTTCCTTCTCCCTCCTCCTGGGGGTAAAATGGATCCGCAAACAGGGTGGATTTGCTTTTGCTGTATCCCAAGGCTGCGCCTGGCTGGTAATGTGTGCCTTTTCCCTCTGTTGGGATTTAATTGGATCAATGCAATGACCTCCTTGCAATGGAGGTCAGCTTTCTTGAACACTCCAAGGACAAAGGAGTCCCACTAGACAGAAAATTGCAGAGTTAAGCAAACAACTTTGACTCACAGGGGAGCAGATACCAAACCAAACTGAAGGTGGGAGAAAGCCTAAGCAGTCATTTCTAACATGAACTAAAAAGGTTGCAAAGGGACACGACAGAATTTGAATCTAGAGAAACAGCAACAAGATTTTAAGAAATAAAATGGATGGGCTAGGTAAGGTCTGGAGAACCTGGACCCTGCAGCAAGGCTCAGAGCAGCCCTGCACAATGTTAGTGCAGACCAGAACAGTCAGCATTCCCAGCCCTGTGGAGCAGGAAGCAGACACTACAGTCCAACATCCCTTTTCCTTGGGCAGATGCTTCTACTGAAGCAGCTCAGTTTAACATTCACAGCCCCATATTCACTATGCTTCTTGTCCTTAACACACAGGCTGTGCATGCCAGTGAGCTTTTCCATAGTTCATGCACTTTACTACTGTGTACCACACACACACATCTTTTACAGTAAGCTGTGTAATGCACAACCTCACATATAGCTCAGTTATTACCCTCAGGAACATGCAGAACGACAGAAAAGGGGCATGGGATGATGCATGGGTTCTCCCAAGCCTCACTGTCTCACTCCTACCCACCCCAAGACTCCATATTTGCATCTCAGGTAATACTGATACTTCATTTTGGAAAGCCAACTTCAAATCCACTAACAAGACTGTCAATAAAAACTATTCCCAACATCATATTAAGGTGTTAGAATTTGACTCAGATAGTGATCCTGTTTGCTTGTACTGTGGGGTAGAGCACCCCAAAAACTACAGTTATCTGTCAGCTATCTGCAAGGTGGTTACCTAGGTAGTGGGTCCGTCAGTTGTGCTGTGGGTACCAAAACCCATAAAGCATCTCCACAATCTCTCAAGCCTCATCTACAGGCACATATTTATTCCTGCCTCTAGGCTTGCAGAGAGTCCCTGCTCGTGCCGATATCCCCGGCACAGCCATTGGCCAGCAAGTAGGGCACAGAAACCTCCAGCAGAAGCAGCACACGGACCATAATCAGGTTTGGTTTGTGGGTTTTTAAGCCTTTTGGGCTGGACAAAATTAAAAAGTTACCAGCATACTTAGCTTGACTCCTCACTTGGGACTTTCCCAGCTTGAATCAGTGACACTGGAGCTGCTCCCAATAAATATTCAACCAATGTAAGGAGAGTTATTAAAAAAACCCAAACAAACAAACAAAACTTCACAAGCAAAGTGTTGCTTAACCTTTTTCAAATCCTGAAGGTATTTAAGGCATGAAATAAAGGTGCTAATAGCCTCTCAATGGTTCATTACTGGCATTGTCTCAAGGAGTTTTTACAACCCATTAAGCTCCAACTGTTCTGTTTTAGGTCAAATGAGAGCAGTCTAAAGAATACTCTAATTTAGACTGACAGTATCAAAAGTCTTGTAGGGTGCAGTCAGTCCCCTTTTCCCCTTTCCCACCTGTAGGTTTGTAAAGTCTGGCCCTGTGCCTGGAAAGTATCAGGCAAGCGCAGACTACTTTGGAACATGAAAGCTTAGAAACCAAGTTCTCAACTGCTCAGCAATTTCACTTACTTCATGGATTTAATTTCTGTTAGAACATTTTAAAGCCTAGTAAGAATGGCACATCCCATTGGGAATTTCACCCAAAAGTTTATATCTGTGTGTTTTTTTCAGCCAGGAACTTGGAAATCAAGTGAAAACAACAGACCAAGAACACAGAGATACTTCTGTGCAAAGTGTTAATCTGATGGCTCATATACCATAACTACTTAAATTTGAGGAAATCAGAGCTCACCCCTCAGAACAAAGAGGAGAGAAGTTTTCTGTTACAAGGCTAAGAGATTAATAATGTTCTCCAGTCCAGGCTGTAAGTGATACCATGTAGAACTGTAGATCTGACAAGGAGACAGTTGAGCAGACTGCACAATTTCCTTTTATACATAAAAGAAGTCACCAAAGTCATGCAGTACTATGCTTTCCAGGTCTACACATCATCCCCTTACTTTCAAGTCTTTTAGCTCTGCACACATTATTAACAACTCTTTGCCCTACCTTCCAGTGATTAACACCTGTCTCTTACCCCAGCAGCTGGTGTGTTTGCAGACAGGCTTGTACTTTCTCACTGTGCAAACTACACTAGTTTCGTCCTGCACATTTTAAGCTGCTACATAAACAAGTCCAGAGACCAGGCACTACCTCCCACTTACTCTCCTGCTGCTCCCTTTTATCTCTTCACCCTGTGTGTCACTATTTAAATGGATACAAGCAGCTGAATGTCCTCAAAATTCTTAAGAGCAAATGTCCTTACATCTGCTAATCAGCTCACCATCCCCTGAAATCAGATCATTATATGGGAGAGCTGTGTAAATTGGCCAGCAAGCCAATCCAAACAAAAATTTATTGTCTATGAAAGGGGTGTGAGCTGGGGAAAAACGAACAGATGAAGACAGCAGCAATTTGGAGCAAGGAGAGTGTCTGTAATGCAAAAATAAAGTCACTAAAGCCTAAAAAAATTGTACTCACCTATCTGACAGCTCAGTGCCCACCCTGCCCTTTCCTCTTGTGCCTTTAAACCATCTTTCACAGTGAAAATGACCCCAAAATAGGATTGTTTCCATTTGAAAATCACTACTGCTGCTTAATTTTCCAAGTTTCCTTTATTACCTCAAGCAGCTTTGTGCCAAGTATTGTAAGAGAAAATTCACATCTAAATGTTGTGGGGGGTGTTCAATCACAGAAGTAGCAACAGAGTGAAAACTCTGGGCTTGATTTCCCTCAGCACCTTTGTAGTTCAGGAGGACGAGCCCTGGGGTCAGCAGGGGTAGCCAGCGCTGCAGGGAGAGGTTTGCACAGGTTAGTGAAGGGTGTTGACTTCGCCTTTCCGGAGCACCTTTGCTGCACAGGGCCCCTCTGCTGCTGGTGGGAGAGCCAGGGTGAGGCACTAACACAAACACAGCAGAGCACGTCCCCTTGGCTTTCTCTGGCTCTGCACTGCTTCTGGCTGACTCTGGCTGAGCATTTTTCTGCTCATTCCTTCCTTGAGCTAGTGCTGGTGCCAAGGAATTCCTCCCAGTCACCCTAACAACCGTTCCCCACACAAAGCAGGCAATTGCTGCTCTTGTTTAACCCCGAAGAAAACATCCCCTGAATCAAAATGGGCAAAGGCAGCACACTTGGGCCTGATGGGGACATGACAGGTGCCAGGAGTTCAAATGCCAGCAATGGGTGGGAAGCAGCATTTGGGAAGCCTTTAGATGCTTGTGTGTGAAATATCCCTACCTACCTCTAAGGGGACTATTTTTTGCGTAGTCTTTGATGGAGTAAGTACAGGTGTCTGTACAC